ATCATAGACGATACTAAGAAACGACCGGGGTCTGGCAACGTCAGTTTTGGTGCATGAAGCACTGTCTTAGACCCTGTCAAAAGCCTCCCGATGCTCTGTTTACCAACATTATTTTGTATCTTACCATAGGAGATTCGACAATGGCCGTGCTATTTCCGCATAACTTGCGCTATACTTGTGCAAGTAGTTGGCGAGGTCAAGCCACTTGCGCATATCATTTTGGTTCTTTGGAACCTGCCAGTCCACAGTGGCCTTGACCTTAATGGGGTCCGCTTGAAGGCTGCATAAAGCTTATTCGTGCGCATGCACTCGAGCAACGCTTTCAAACGAACGATGTGGTTTTCGTCATCCCCTGCACAACTGTGGACAATGATGTCGTCGAAGTATGTCTGTGTATATGCCTGATGGGGCCTGAACAATTGCGTTATCGGAAGCTTAGATGTTGCTGGCATTTAACAGCCCTTAGGGCATCACTAGCCACTACGCACACCCGACGGCGAGCCTTTGGAGACAACGTCTAAAAATTCTTGAGCAAAGGACAGTACGGATCCAAGGGATCCTTCAGGATCGACAATTCACTTCGTGCGTTCAGCACCCTCTTAATGTCCTCCAGGTCAGCTTCATTCAGAAGCGATGGCGAGTAAATCTCATTCGGTCTTATAATTACAACCTCGGCTAAATTGTCTGCCTTAAAGCACCGCCGAACTTTTCGAAGGACATCTCGCCCAGCTCAAGATGAGATCCCACCGCAAGAACAGCCTTGAGAGTGACTTCGCCGTCTTCCTCTTTCTTCATACCGTCGATAAGGGTATATAGCTGCGCGCAATCGTCTACGGTAGACACACCCTGGGTCATGGACGATGCCTTGCGCCTTGCAGATAACGAACGCTCCGCCGTCTCCTTTTATAGAGGTTTTATCGTCTCGGTGGGAATATGCATTTGGCGTCGTATCGTGTCCCCACTCCCTGCTCCATCGGAGCCTCGATGTTATTAACGCCTCCGACGAAAAGCTTTTTTATGCAGACTTCGTCCAGTGGATAACGTACCACTCTACGCGCATCAAAAGGACCTCGCCTAAGATACCTCGAACTTCGTCCGACCATGCCACTCGTGGCATACAGCGACTGCTTTGAAACTTGAGCAGCACTCAGTGGGTAACGTGCCACTCCACGAGCATTACAAGGGTCTCGTACTCGACGCCTCGGCATGCCACCGATGGCATGCAGCGATTGCTCCAATACTCGAGCAACGCTCAATGGGCTACATCCCACTCCACGTTCAGCCCGCGAGCCACGCTCGGGACTCCTGTCTCAAAACCTTTGGTGTTTGACAACTCAAATACTCCGATATCCAGGATATTGACCATCCCGGTCCAGTGCCCGCGCCATTTGCGCTTCTGCTTCCTAGCAGATATAGCTTCATGAATCTTCAAAGCTTCACTAGGAGATGTGCGCATAGCGCCCAACGTCTTCGACCTCCAACCAATCCATGCTTCATGGTGCTCCAACCATGCCATACCAAGGCTGAGGACATATTTTGCTCCCAATTCCAGGAGCTAGCAGCGTTCTAAGCTAGCATAGTCAAGGAACTTGACTCCAAGGTCCACAGGGACCTTCGACACAGTGACACAAGTCCCGTCACTAAGCGAGCAGTGTCAGTGTCACTCAACAGCGCCTCAGCATACAGCTGACTTCTTTCAGTCGTGGAGTGGCGAGCATAACTGTTCGACGCTTCGGAACCAATAACGACGTTCCATGGCTTTAAAGCTCTTCACGGTCGCTTTCACGACCAGCAAGCCCGGCTTGCACACACGTTCCGTGTCCAAGAGCACGGAGCTTTCGGGGCTGGGTTCTGCTGCTTTTATCTCTTTTTCAACAAATCTTCACGCGCTTTGTGCAGGGGACAAACAACCCGAAGGTGACGGGCGTCTCCACAGACTAAACACTCTCGGGGGCTTACACGCTGCTTGGCAGCTTGGAGCTCCTTCTCCTCTTTCTCCGCATAGCTGAGATCCATTGGATTAGATTCGCTCGACGAGCTCTGAAGGAATTAATTCCAACCAAGTCGTGCCGACTTGAAGTTGAATTCGGCATATAATGCCACACTCACCGCTTTTCAAAAGAAACGGTTGCGCACGCAAGACTTCCATTCTGGCCACGCCATGACGACGGTCACTGCGACCGCCTCGTAGAGAGGATCGGCTGTCATTCCGGTAATGGGAGTTCTCACCCCTTGGACAAAGTTCACCTAACCTACTTGCCCTGTCGAGCAGCAAGGAATCGCGATCGCACGCGATATGGCTGATTAGGCGGCGAGAACACTCACAAATTCTGACGCTCAAGCTCCTTTCTGGAGGGAAACGCAGCTTAAACCGAAGCACCGCACGTCAGTACCCATTCTCACACTCCGTTCCCGAGCTCGAAGATAGTTAGCGCCACGCGCTGTTGCTCGTTCTGGAGCATGGCGGATGCCTGCTGGGTCATAGAATATGCAATTTATCGTAAGCGGGCTCTATCGGTGTTCTAGCAAGCCTTGAGCTTGATGTATTGTTGACTAAGTAAATTCAATTGAAATTATTTTCAAGCATAAACTCCGAAGTAATGAAACATTGTAAATTATTGTATTAAAGTAAATACAATCGGGGTAGTTCCCCGAGCGTATAAACTTTAATACAATAAAATGTGTATGCACTTGATGTAGTGAAACCTTGTGGTACAGCATTTTTATTGTTCTAAAGTGAATACAATCGGGGTAGTTACCCGAGTGTATTAATTTTGATACAATAAAATGTTTTATTGCAATGTGTAGTTGCATACTAAGTGAATATGCTAGAATTATTTCTATTAGTATGAACTTTGAAGTAATGAAGTCTTGATGTACAACAATATATTGTAACAAAGTGAAAACAATCGTTGTATTTATTCGAGCATGTTCATTCTGATATAATAAATGTTTTATTGCAATATGTAGTTACGGACTAAGCAATTACTATTGAAATTATTTTCAAGTGTATGATCTTTGAAGTTAAGAAACCTTGTGGTACAATATCTCATTGTTTTAAGTGAATATAATTGGGGTATTTCCTCAAGCGTATAAATTAAAATACAATACAATTTTTTTTTTTTGTATGGAGGAGCCTTGAGATAAATACAACAGGAGTAATTTTCAAGCGTATGAACTTTGACGTAATAAAACATTGCTTAGATCATTTTATTGTATTAAAGTGAATCCAGTCGTGGTACTTCCTCGAGCGCAAAGTTTTGTTGCGATAAATTGTTTTATTGCAATGTATAGCTACTTACGAAGTTAATGTAATCGAATTATAAATTCGAGTAGTCATACATTTTGATTACAGGAACCAAAAGCGGAAACAACCACGTTTAGCGCTTACGGGCTCTGCGCAAGTGTATGCGCTTTGATAAGCTGTTTGCCAATATTGATAACTGGGACGAGACTGTGATTTTCGTATTGCCTTTGGGTAGCGAAAACTTTTTTAGCAACCTTTTAATCCACAAAACGTCATGTGGTGTTTTGTCCGCCTCTGACATATGCCTGATTTCTTTGCATGTCCTGGCTAACAGCAATAGCGTCGCACATTTGGGGCATGACGCTCGATCTCTGCAGAATAAAGCTTTGTTTTGCTTCGACGTCTAGCCAAAATGATATCCAAAAGTCGAATAGTATTGTCAATCCTTTCAGCATCAAGACTGGAGTCATTTGGCTGAGTTGTCAACGATACACGATCACTATCCCACCCATTTCAATGTAGCAGTGCGAAGCCCACAGAGACGTAGGCAATGCTGTTCAGCGCGAAAAATGAGTGAAAGCACGTCGATCACGCATGTGCTAAATTGATGGTATTCAATCGATCCGTTGAACCATCAGTCGATGGATCTCCCGTTGCAAATGTCTAGTCTGGGGCTAAGCAACAGAAGAACTTGATCCGACACCACAACCACAGTAAATCCCATGTTCGCATCAGTGCCGCTGACTGCAGTCAGATGATCAATTTTATCTAAGTCATCTAAAAGCCTCAAATCATATTGCTCGGAAGACTACCAAAGATATATATCCCTGGACAACAAATATTTTTCTCAAGTAAGCAGACTGAACATAAACATCGATGCATTTGGGTGGATCTTCATCTTCGATTCGTTTCCGTGTGCGCACATATGTGCTTACTTGCTTACATAGTCAGATCACCATTACATATTATTTACGAAGCAGTATTGTATTGACCAAGGTGGCCTCCAACGGAGCTATCATGTAGTTTGAACAGCATTCTATGTAAGTTTTAATCCTGCAAATCGCCGCACATTGTGTGATGTGGGGGTCAGTTCTGTAAAACAGCAAACTTTAGATTACAGAATGACCGAAATGAGCAATCGTGCGCACTTATAGAGATGTATCTGATCAAAGCTTTCACTTGTAAGCTGCTGCTGAACCATATGCTGAACATATCACCATATCATTTGGCCACGTCACCATCGTGAATCGCGACAACGTTTGGTCATAGAGATGTTAAAGCGTATCAGTCACCACAATAAGCTGACTCGTGGAGCGATACATGATCTGTATATATCACAAACAGCTTAGAAATGCGACCTGATCCTGTCAATATATTTTTGCTGTAAGTGTCTTCTTCTCATGGTCAGAGAATTCATTCAAGCCAATTAAAGTTGGCGATCACGTGATCCTGATCATCGGTATGTTCCTGGGATAAGGCAACGCCAATAGCCAAAGCGTCACGAACGACACAGAATGGTCATTTCGACATTCTATGCAGCAGAATTGGAACCATATGTGGCTTATCCTTACAGACTTAAGAGTCGCCCGGATTTAGCACCCCAGCACCAAATGACATATTTTTCAAAATATCGATGAGTGGTTGTGTCATGTCGGCGTATTTGCACGTATCAGACCAAACATTTATTAAATTTTGTTTGATTTGTCGAGGTAGCCAGTCTACACTGCCCTTAGCGCTCGCGGGATCCGCCTGCATAACATTCTTTGGCGTTTGCCTCGGAATAATAGCTGCATTGAATTATTTCAAGCGTGCATAATTCGCCACTTTCACATCATCTAAGTATAAGTCAACGAAATACCGTCCGAGGTAATAAAGAGAGTTTTTCATCACTTGTGACTCCCCATGTTGCTCCATATACCAATATACAAGACGTTCTCAAAAAGCCTTTAAACAGTTACTGCTCTACATGTTGATGCGTACCACGTTAGTGCTGACTCAGCGATATCGTTAGATTGTTGGCTTGGCTATCTCCTCTGGACAATAGTCATATGTGTCTACCGAGTCGTGCCCTGGAGACTGCAACACCAAATTGCTCTGAAAATCTTTTGCGTTTCAGAGCGGGGAGACCGCGATACTCTAATTTGTTTTACCCGATGTAATATCGGGCGAGAAGCTTACAAAAATATATAGATATTTGAAGCCACGACAGACCATCCTAAACTTCCTGTCTCGTAAGTATTTCTAGCGCTGCTCAAGACACTAAGCAATTACCAGAGTGGATCACTGCTATTTATATACTTTTTTGCTTCTCCCAGGCAGTTTGTCGAGCATAAACTGCCAAGATCTTGGCGCTGGCAGCTTTGTGTGCGCCTGTTATAAGCGTTTCTGGGGCTGTCTTAACGGTGTGTCTCCATAGCTGGTAACGCAAGCGATTACTGCCTGTGGCACTTGGACCATCACTTTCGTTATATGCCCTCGTGACTAACAAAGGTCAGATGCTTATGAAGCGTGTCGTGCTACACGAAGACAGGTAGGTTAACAAGTTGGGTTATCATTCAATATAGAGTCAGGTCGAGGAATCGACGCCAAGTGCGAACAGATCCAACAGAGTTGCTGTGCACCGCATAGAAGACATTTGGTCCACGTAAATCAATGCACGAGGATGGAGTCTGCTCCGACGATGATCGAGACCGAGAACACTTGAGGTATCTAGTGCTTCTTTGACAAGAGTAATCCATTTATATAAAGTTTTTCAGCTTAATTAGATACTTAATGCATCTATCTTACTATCTACAAGCATAGATATCAACAAGTGAGGCTGGCGCTGTCACGTGTTGTAACGGGGTTACATGAGAGTGACCCGTCACTCTCCCAAGGGAGATGTGGTGTGGC